TCCCCCCTTGCTAGCAGGGCCACATGGATATTAGGCCAACCCACTTGTATATAATGTCCAGCACTTGGCTCCTTAAGAATAAGCATGGAAACAGTCAAGCCATGGTCAAATCCCCTTACTCTTTCTCTTGTCTTTAAAGAGGAACTTCACTTCCCTGCTATATCCTGTGATGCTGTGAAAACATCGTATCTGCTGTCTGGGAGATCTCTTGTTTGAAAAAGAGCCTTTTCCAGCTGACAAACCTGCCAAAACCAATATTGATGTTCTGGCTAAGACAGTCTCTGTTTTAAGAGAATGATTATTCATGACTAGAGAGCCACTAGTAGTGTTTTGTGTTCCATCTTTGATATCCAGAGCTGATTAAGGACTGCACAGGAGCTGTCATCTGGCAGGGACTCTGTCAAGCAGGCTGATACAGCTGCCCTAGCCATGTGTGTTCATGAGGACTCATGCTTCTCATGATAATCCAACCCACTTTTTTTTAGTACATCAGTTCTTGTTTATAGAGGCAAACTTCTGGCAACTTAGATTTTCACATGTATTGTTTGCTCAATTTTTGAACTGCTTCTGATTTAATTTTACTGTGGGTTATCCATAGATCACTGCCTGACCCTTCAAAATTCCCTCTGAGACAAGATGTGTGATACATCTCGGCATGTGATGTTAGTTTTGCAGGCCAAAATTAATGCCAATAGTGAGTGCTTGCTGAATGCTCACAATTGTCATTACAGAGTAAATAACCAGTAGCCTCTTTCTTTGCCTTGTGCAATGGGGATAAAGATCAGAGAAATGAAATGACAAGGCTCCCTGGTTCAGGGACTGGGAAGCCACTTTTCTTGCAAGAGCTTGTCAATTTCACTGCTATTGTGAAAGTGCTGTGAACTTTCTGCAGAAGTGAGAGCCAAAATTCTTGCCAGTTCCACTCCCCTGGTTTCTTGGAACTTAAGCATCATCTGACGCATTATTAGCTGGCAGGGAGTAAAGAGTTGAAAGCTCTGCAGTAGAGTTCCAAGGTGTTGCCCACAGGCAACTTCACCTTCCCATGCCTTTATTCTAAATATAGATGGTAGAAAGTTGTACATATCTGTATGAAGTACATACAGGTTTCTACCAAACCAAATAGTCAAATAAGTATTTGTTTGAAGCTGGTGTTTATATACCACCCATTCATGTCATCTGTCAGAAGAATGCAAAAAATCCATTTCCCTTTCCATTTGTTAATTTCAATGATGCAGGCAAAAAAATTGAAGGAGCATGTACATCACTGAATGATAAAGACTGTTCCAGTACAAACTTTATATGTATAGTAACCTCTTCCCAAATGGAAACAACTACTGGACATTACCAAAGCATAGATTTAGAAGAAGCACTATATTGCACTGCCACCAATGAGCTAAATTAGACATTAAAGGGGCTCTAATAATAAAGAGAAGTTGAGGCATCCAAAAGACACGAAAGAAAAGATTTTGTAGAATAAGAAACAATCCAGGATCAAATGGGCATATGCCAAAGCTGCAGTCCACCAATGAGGCATGTTCTTTGGCATTCACAAACAGTTTCAAATTTCCAAATGTGCTCATGGGCCCTAGTCTAGGGGATCCTCTTCACTGTAAAATGTGTGTATGGGAGAGAAAGGCTTTGCCAGCATCACCTCACTGGAAGGCCTGTTGTTGAATGAGTAGCAGACAGACATTGAATAACTACTTTGTGAATTTCAGCATTCTTTTCTTTAAAGCCTTTGTTTGCCAGGGTGCAGGAATAGAGAACTGAAGAGGTAGTGCATCCAGCCATCCCTTCCCATTCATTCCAGCTACTGAGTGCAAGACTTTAACATCCAACCCACCAGTTCATGTGTGTGTTTGTGTCTGTGTCACCCTTATGGGAGATGGAGATGGTCAGTCCATTCAGAAACAAGACATATGAAGTCTGCAGAAGCAGCAGGAGCAACCGAGTAAAAACAGTATTTTTACTCAGAGCAACCATTAAAGTGGCTTGCCTGTAGAACTAACACAACACGACAGGGTGACTCCAGGATTACTGTAGTTGATAGCAGAGCTGCCCTTCTACTGGCAAACCATCCACAGGACACTGCAGTACCTAGCAGTTTCAAGGGATTGCTCACAGATTGGGAGTGAGAACAGACTCATACCAATGATAAATTACAGGGAAAAGAACAGGGGAAAATATGACACAATCCTCCAGGGAAGCAAATGGTAGAGGGGAAAACATAAATGCACAAGGACTTCGGCAAAAACCATGTGGCATACATATGTATGATTCGCCGGTCCTGATGCAGGTGACTATTCATTGTTCCTCAGAGCCAATCTACATGTTATGACAAAGACATAGCTAGTAGCCTGCAGAAAAGAAGAGCACCCCTTTGGTGCCAGTTGCTCTTATTTCCTAAATCGTATAGCTGCTATTGGAGGAGAATTACTGGTAAAACCACCATTGAGAAGAGACTCACTGAACCTCCTCTTCTTGCAGGAGGGGCAATAAAACCCAGACACTCACCCCAATTAAGAAAAAGAGGGGGAAAGAATGTTACCACAATATAATATTTATTGGGGTACTTGTATTTTGGGGTAAGGTTTTTGTATTACTACATTGCATAGAACATTCCTAGAGTGATTTCTAGCATCTGGGGTCTAGCAAAGAGGATGCACACATAAAGATTCTGTATCTTGTGTGTAAGCTGGATTGATTAATATCTCTTAGCCATATGTTCTTCTAGTGGCTCTAAGACAATAAGTACACTTGTGGGTAAATATAAGAGCACTTTAATTAGTAGATTGTATAAAAGAGATAAAAGCAAGAGGTGCAGAATACAGAGCTTGCCTGTCTTCTGCAATCAGGAATCTCTCAAAGTAATGACTCTAGATGGTCTCTTGACCACCTGGTGTAATGTGCTGCCTGCATCTAGGTGTGTCTTGAAGTTCTACCAGAGGCATTTAAGCTAGTCCTTTTCTGAGGCTTCGTCCATTAGTTCCCTTCCCTTTCCCCTGTTTTTATTTTATCTGGCTTTTAAAGTGTTCCTATATGTTACATTATTTAACCAAAATGTGGTGCTTTGGCATACAACAAATTTGCAAAAATTCCTATAAAGAAAATTATGATGGCATCCATGATAATACTGCATTTTTCTTGCTTAAAAAAGTTGTGTGAATCATTGGAAAACATGGGAGAGGCCTTGGAGGATGAGAACATCAAATAAAGGACTCACATGCTTCCATGTGTGAGGAATCATGAATAAATGCCTTGTGTAGGGAAGCCTCGGTGACTCAATTGGATGTAGCACATAGTGTTAAACTAAGTCAAAGGAGATCTGTGCACAATACCCAGATCTCACCCATCTGAGTGGCCAAACCCTAATCTTCTAGGAGAAGCTGCAGTCACACTTGGTCGCATGTGCTGCTTTTACAGGTATGACCTACATACCCAGGAGCAAAGCCAAATTAAATCACATCCCCAGACTGGATAGCATACATGTTCCTTCATGGTTTCTTCAGCTCCTTCTAGAGCCATCACAATGCTTAGTATAGTCTAGTGGATTGAGTGGGACCAAAGGTATAAAATAAAAGGCCAAATTCTGGTTGTGGGAGGCAATACTTGAATATACATGAAAAGAGGTCAGTCAGCTTCAGTGGGATGTGGTCCTAGAAGCATAGACTCTCAGCATTACTGACTAGGAACCCCTTTTGCCTTTGGCTGTAGCTCTGTTTGCCTACTGATGCTATGACCAGGTGCTTTCTTGCTAAATCATCTATCCATGATCTGGTAGTTTAATTATGGCAGCAAGGACTATTACTGGAAAGGAAAAGAATCAATTTCTGATTATAGTTTATAATGAAGCTCAGCAAGGACTCCATTTTTTCCTCTTTTCACTGGTCCTGTAATAATTGATTATCACAATGCAATTATCCACAGAATGTGCTGCTAAAGTTGTGAATGTTAATAATCTAAGATTTACACAAAGGTGCTCTTGGATCACAGGTCAATGAAGAAAACTGCTGTTTAACTGGTTGCATGCACTTGTGCTGGATGAATTTAAAGTTAATGAATTATTTTATAAAAACCGAATAAAGGTCTACTTGGTTTCTCATGTTTTCATAACAAGTGGCCGAACTGAGAGGTTAGAAGTGGGAGAAATCCTAAGATAAGGAAGTTCATGGCAGAAAAAAGTATCCCGTCCTTTCCTTCTGCTTAAAGCTATACGCAGTTGCTGCAGAGCTCCTCTGAATATTTGGAAGCCCTCCTGATCAAGGTGGAATAGAGTTCCTCACATGAATTTTCTTGAGTTAACTCATCTTTGGATTCAAGACTAATTGGTGCTGATTTTCCCATCCCTCAGCAGCCTGCTTTACCCCATCTTACATTCTTTAAAAAAGGCCCTGATCTTCAATATAAGTTTTGGGCAGGTGTATATAGGAAGAGACAACCTTTCAGGTAACCAGTCCCCAAGCTATTTATGGCTTTGAATATCACATTAATGATGCTAGTAATGGCTGTTCCTCTGCAGGACAAGTACAAGAGGGAACATAGCTCAGAGGCAGAGTACATGATTTGCATGCCCAGACTTCTAAATCCATTCCCTGGTCTAAAGGATTAGATAACCAATTATGCTTCAGACCCAGGAAAGCTTCTGCCTGTTGGAATAAATAGTGCCGAGATTGATGGACAAATAATCTGACAGATATTCCTAGAAGCTTTGGGAGATCTCTGCACATGAGTAACCCTGGCATTGTTGTTAGCATCTTCTCAGGTGACATGTTTCCTAGACAGAGGTCTTGTGAGAGCAACTGCAAAGTTCATGAAGGTGATATACTCATGTAGTATGTTCATTCAATTCCACATGGTTCTAGCCATAATGATCACTTGCAGAATCCACTCCGCAGTTGGATCAATCATCACATTGAATCTTTCAGTTCTTTTTGAACCACTTTTTATGATGGGAAAGTAGGCTGTACATATTTTAAGTGTTTTCTTTTCTTTCTCACCAGGATTGGGAGTTCCCACATTTTATGGGAGATGTTGATGTAAATCTTCCTGGCTTGCCTGCTGCACACTTCCAGTTTAGATTACCTCATTTCCAAAAGATTTTTAAGGAAGAGTATCATATACATATAACAGGTATGTGTTGTTTGGCATTCCCTTTTTATTTTAAATCTGGGAAAGGTATGTAGTCAATTATTCTAAAGTGATACAGTCCAGAATTCAGTGATTCCAGAATTCAGTTCATTCTACATAATTAGGGCTGGTTTCCCACAAATGACAGAGGAGATGATGAAATTTCCTGGACTTCACACTACAAGTTGTAGGGGAGAAGGTCCACGCATCCAGTATACTTGGAATATTCACATACCAGACAAATGGCTTGGCTAGAATCCTTCACTCACACTTGCAGTTTTGTCTCTTTTGTGGGTTGGATCAATTTATTGGAAATGCTTTGGTGCTGCAATCCTATCTGTAGTCTGATATGGTATCTTCCAGGAATTTTCTTTTACTGCACTAAATGTTTCATATAGACCAGGCCTTCCAAAACAGCTCTATGATGTTAGCCTAACCTTGCTACAGTTTTATTCAGCTACCATTTTATTTGTGATCATGTCATCTCTGGCCCTCCCATTTGCTGTTATTTTTAAAAGGCTGCTTAGACAGCCTTTGCCTAAAAACAAACCTGAAGATGTAGCAGCACCTGGCATTCAAGGGGAATAGGAATACGGATGTCCTCATAGCAGCTAGATTAAAAAGTTATTCCAAATATAAGGATGATTTGAATTTCCAAAGGGCTTTTGGGCTGAAGAATTTGTATCAATTATACATAATCAATAACTTAGATATAACATTTATAGTGTGAGTACAATTTATGTGCACATTTCTTTCCTATGTAGGTAGCAGACATGGGGAAAACTGAGCAGTGTTGAGATCAGAAAGGGGAATGGACTGGGAGAGTTTAAGTTCCATTGGTACCAATGGTAGCTTGTCCTGAGATGCAAATGGCAGATTCAGAGGTATTCTTTATCTGGACCTTAGTAGTTCTTGAATTCATGTGAAATAAATGTAAATAGAGAGACTAGGAGATAAACTCTTTGAAAAATCTTTCTTTTCATTGGTATTATTTCTTCCACCTAGGAAGAATTTGCATAATGGACCAGAGACATGGGATTAAATTAACACAATGATACCTACTGCAGTGTCCATATAAAATAAGATAGGGCTCTTGGAGTGCTTTGAAACTGATGAGAATCAGAAATCATCCAACTGAAGCATAAATCAGTGGGAAGCTTAGAAGTTGCCTTTTTAATTCATTATAAAATGGGGTATCCTTTGAGTGTCTGATGAATGGCATGAACCTGGGCATGTCTGATGTCCTTTCAGAGTAAAAGAATTCCTCTCAATAGGCCTCTTCTTAAAGGTGCAAGGAAGAGAATATAGAAGGGACTGAGAACAGTGGAAAGCTTAGAGGGAGTAAGTGTCACCCTTCCCATTGAGAAGGCCTACATGCATACTGCATTATCAGACGGAGATCTTTCATAGTCAGGCTGAATGTGCAGTTACTGGAGGAAACAAGGCACCAAGGCACCTAGCATAGCAACACAGAGGGCTGGCTAGTGTGTCAGCTGGTATGCGCCCACGCCCCCTTATGCATTGGGTGACCATGTGATAGAAATCATGTACTCACGCACGCGCGCACACACACACACACACACACACACACACCCTGTGTGTGGTAGGAGCAGGAGCACCAAATGGCTACATGAAACATTGATGAAAATCGTGTACTGGTGATCAAAAGAGCAAGGATTATTAAATCTTTTCTGGCACAAGCCACAATCAAAAGGAAATGAAAGAAGCTGTGGGCATATTGACCATTTGGATACAAAGGAAATTCCATCGACATGCAATAAATGATTTTGGCGGTTGGAAGTTCTTCTTTATTTTCTTTGTACTGCTCTTTAAAAGCAGACTGTTCGTGGTTGGCCAATGTCTGTACAGTGCATTTTATCTCTCCCAGATGTTATAAACTGATGGGGATATTTTTGTGTGAGCATAATTTAATTGGAGAGTGGGCCATGTATAGGAGTTGTGGAATTGTATTTTCCAGCTCAGAATTAATAAATTTTATTTATTAGATTTACTAGACAAATCAGTCTATTTGAATGCATATCACATCACTAGAGATGCAAGAGCTTGCTTTATCTTAGCCATGTGCCATTTTTAGGAGAATCATAAACAGCATCAAATCAGCATGAGAAACTCCCTCTGGGTGGGCTTTGCCTGGCCCATCTGTTCTTAGATCAATGCTAGGTTTTGAGCCCTGTTCATAAACTTTGGAACTTCCTAAGCTGTTCTCTGTTGCTTACAGAGACACTGTGATTCCCTGTTTCCAAATCTAGAATTTAGAAGGTAGGAAAAATCCCAGAAATGTTTCAGATAACTGTGTTCCAGATTCATTGAAAATTATGCTCTCTTTATAAGAAAGAAGCATTTGTGGTTGTTTATCAGTCAGTTTGGAGCAAAATTAATGATATAGCTATGAAATGTGTTTTCAGACCATGAATGCTTCAGAACATTTGGCAAAGAGATATTGGTATGGTTAAGCAAATTGAAATTAAAATACTGAACAGCAGAAAGCAATATAATTTATCAGTGGCCCTTAGAATGTTTTCCCATCTCCCTTTTGCCAAAACTTCAGCATCCACTCATGCCACTCATGGACTGGCCGATGGGCTTTATGCATCTCATGTTCTCTGAAAAAATTATTGCTTCAGTACTACAGTAGCACAAAGGCCAAACCGAATGGACTTTATAACAACACTTTAGGAGGATATTTCTTGCTGTTACCTGATGCTCTGTACTTCTAGTAATTTCTGCTCTATTCTGTTTCTATAATTGCAGTACTTTACAGACCACTGGCAGAAAATTAGTGCCCAAACAACTGACATAGCTATTTTGTTCAGTCATTCCTCTTCAGGATAAACTTCTTTGGGTAAATAATTGCTTTCTATGTGCCCTCTCATGAGGGTTAGCATAGCCTGATTTACCAGACATTCTCCCCTTGAATTTTAAGTTGCCAAGTGAATTCCAGCAAAGCCCTGTTTTTAAAACCCTGTTTGGGAGCTCATTTTGTACTGGACCCCAGATTAGCCACATTGAAATGGTCCCAGGTCCTTGTCCCAGCAGCTTGAAAACCTCATCTGGCCCTAACCAAGATGAAGTTTGAAAACTCATCTGTTTGCTGTACTCCACCCCATTTCAAAACATGTTTAAAAATGTAAGTGCTGGGTTTTTGTTTTTTACATACTTCCATGCTTCAATGTTTTAACTTTCAGACCTTCTGTATGTCAGAAGCTGTTGGAATAATCCATTGATTCTCTTTACATAAGTTTACATGTTGTGAGGCCCATCCTGACTTCTGGAATAAAAATAAGCATTTTGCCCCGAGCACACAGACCACATATGATCAGTTTGTGAAAAGAATGCTGTTTCAGCTACCTGGGCCGATAGATGTGGTACCCAGTGGGCTGCAAATATATAGAGGACCAGATAACCATGCACTGGCTGTCACATGCTTGGTAGAATGCCCAATTCATCTTGTTTAAACCACAGTCCTGGCTAAACTGCTCCATTAACTGGCATTAAATCAATGCATTTGGTAACAAGTGTATTCCCTCACCCATGCGGCTCATACACAAATGATCTCTTAGGAATCCGGGACACCACATATGTTAATAGTGAACTCATGGGACTGGTGTACCACAGATTACAGTCCCCATTTTAGCAAAAGTTTCAGAGTTTTAAATAAATAAATAAACTATGCCATCCCCTTAATCCTACGGTTGATCTATGGAGAATGAACCACATGGCTGGCAAAACTCAGCACAGAATGTAATTCATTGTCCAGCAGGTCTCTATCAAGGCCAGCTAACAGAAACATCAGCAGTATTGATGCTGTAATGTATTCCATTATTCTTTTATGCTTCAGGGAACACCTCCCATGCTTGAAACACAGTGCTGACTTCTATTTATAATTCCTTTGTCTGGGGTGTTCCTAATGTGTGTTTTAGTCCATGTTAAATACGTTTTTATCTTCATTTCCATTCTTCCATTTATCTCTGTACATAGAAAGATCTTGCATTTTTGACTCTGCTTCACTCATCTGGATTTCCCTTGACAGATGGCTCATTGCATTCTTTCCTAGGCAGCAGTTTATGTAAATACACAGGGTAGCCTAGTTTCTATGGTACCCAGGGAGATTTGTAAGACTTAAAAGTAAGTTTAGTTATCCACTCTCCAACTGTTTCCTTGTTAAAACACATTTAGGGGCTTGTCTGGATTCTTTAAAATCTATTTTATTATCCACCCACACTGGAGTTCCATATAGTTATATTCATTCAGTTAGGATTCAGTATATAAATACTAAAGATAATGTGCAATTACTCCATGGGAAATTGTATGGCAATGCATCTGTTATAGAATTATTGAATTATAGACCAAGCAGTATCAGAAAATAATTTACAGAATGTGTAAATCGGGATATGTCTTCTAGAAATGGAAGTGCTTTGCTCATGAAAGGACTGTGTCTGATTTTTGGAAGCCCTCTCCAACCAAAGCTCACCCCATTTAACAGGGTTTTTACAACCCTCTGTGTAGAATTTTCTTCTCCTTGCCATATGGGGAGGATGGGTGGGTAAGTCCACCTCCACCAGCCCAGTTACATATGCCTAAATCTGGAGCCAACCCAGTGTTCCTCACCTTTACTCTGACTAGCAAAATTCTGGAAAACTTCCAGGGTCAGGTGCAGGTTAAACCATATATGAGGTATACTGAAGAATTCTTTGTTAGTATATTTAGTACTCTTGTCAATTTAAGTATTTTTTTCCTGCATAATATCTAATCAGTCATATGTATAGCAGAACGATTTAATAGCCATTCATTAGATAAGTTTAAAAAGGGATGTCTCAGTTGTTGTGTACATGTGTGTTGCATGCAGAAGGGTCTAGGCTCCCTGGTCTCTCCCATTAAAAACGGAATGAACAGCAGTGGACAGTACAGTCATCCTGTGGCTGAGAACATGGAGGTCAGATGGAGAAATACTCTGATCTGATGTAAGGAACTTCTACATTCCTATAAAGTATGTGCAAATGCTGGTGACAGGCTAATAGTTATCCTGGATAAAATAGATATGGTGCAGAATAGGGATCAATATGCATTATGGCAGAAATGCCTATTGAACTGGGAATGCTACTTAGTAACATCAACCTGAGTAATTTAAGTGATGAAGTCATCTCCAAAAAGAATTTTGCTGGCAGTTGTCATCTGCACAGAGATGCTGATGGCTACAGCTAAGGCAGAGTATGTGTAGCTGGATTCAGTATGAGCACTCCAGGCACAGGGATGCCTCTGGGACCCTGCAGGCAAAAATAGAAAGGTCAGAGGTAAAAAAACAAAGCAATCCAAGCAGAGCAGTTGTTACTGAAGTCTCTGAGGGATTACTGTTTGGTTCATCTGTGTACAGTGTGTGTGTCTGCAAACATGCTAGGAAAGCATTCGGTGGCAGCACAGGGCTTTCTGGTGGAACAGAAGCATTTGACATGTTTTGCAATTGAGGTAACTGATTGATGAGAGAACCGAAGAGCAAAATGTAGCTAGATGGAGAGCTGTAGCTGAATTTGGGTCTGAACGTCTGTAGGTTGAACTCAGCCCGCAAAGGTACTTGAAGTATTTCTTCTTGGAATGTCCAGTGCCTGAGTCAAGTAACCACACAGGTTCAGGACTGTCTGCAGGGAAGGAAGGCAGAAATGACATAGCCCTGTTTTCTTCTGTGGATGCTTAATGGACGTTGTAGCAATGTTGCTGAAGCAATGTGGCTTCTCTGGACTTTAGTCTGAACTTTCAAGGAGCTATCCATGGTTCTGAAACTGGCCCAGGGCCTCCAAAATAGGTTCTGTGTCATAGATAGCTCCTTGAAAGTTCAGATTACAAACCAGAATTAATACACTACCCCACTGACACAGAGATGTCCAGCCTCCATGGATCATTTGCCAAGCCACTGAATTTGAGGAAGGCTCCATAGCAAAAGAACAGGCAGTGCAGCCTATATAGTTCTCACATTTGAGGAGCAATTCCTAATAAAACAAAGGGGACTGTTTATGCCAGCATAAAAAGCCAGTGTATAAATAACATCTTTGGCTTCTTATGCAAAGATTTATGGAAGCTCTGGTAAAGAATATAATTATTTTATGGAAAATAGCAACAGTTTGAATGGATTTGCTTTGGATACTATCAAATAAGTCTGCAATAATACTTTCCAATATATCCATAAACAACGAAGTGGTGCCCAAGTTTGAAATGCAGATGCTAATCATGATAACTATATCTCCAAGAAGGTTGAAAAATGCTCACAGTTGTGTTGATGCAGATCAGCAGACCAGTTTTAGCAGTTTTCCTGTCCAGCCAGGGCAGGTCTGTTGAAAACCTTGGGGTATTAGTTGCCCATTCAGGACTGGGCCTCCCAAAATACTTTTCATTACACAATAGACACTATATTGCTAGCAGTCTGCAGAGGTAGCAGATAATACCCTCCAGTGTATTTGCTGATAAAAAAGATCTGGTACTGCATTCCTGAGAACCTTGAGTCCATTGTATTGCTGTTCTAGAGAAGACAAAAATCCTATAAGAATGCTAAAATTTCTTTAGCTCTCTTGCGGCAGCCTGTGAGAAACTTAGCATCTTTGGATGACTGCTGTTTCTCTCTTTCTCCGAGCTGGGAGCTGCGTAGCAAAGATTCAGGGAAAAGATGAGATGATTCCAGAAGGGATTTGTGCAACAGTGGCTTTTGAGGAAACATTCAAAGACATGGCAATTGAATAGAGAAGGAGAATGTATCACCAGTTTTTCCAAAGACAGGAGTCAAGTTGGTTGTATACTTGAGCTTAGGAGAAGTTAGCATAATCTCAATTTACCACTTACCAAGCAAAGTTTATCAACTCATATCTGTAAGAGGCACATAGAGGAAAACGTCCAATTATCCAAACCATATTTAATAACAACTGAATCATAACTATTGCTTATAACAACTGTGGTATGGGCCCTTGATGACAATTACTGCAAATTTCTATGATAAAATATTTGATTGTGAAATGATGCAGCTACTTGTATCAGTTTCAGAAAACCAGCATTCTACTAATATGTGTGTTCCATAACAACTCGTCAGTAACTTAAGATGACCCATCAGCAGCAGCCATAATTTTTTTTAGAAAGGAATTTTGTGTAACTATTTTTAAAGTTCTGAAGAGGCTGCTGTTTCAGCTTATTGACCTACAATGCATCTCCTAGTGGTTTAATTGATGGGTCACCTACAAATGACTGTATGAATTCAATTTGTTGTATGACTGGCTTGCACTCCTTAGTGATTTATTACAGGGCCAGACTTCATTCCAGAACTGTAGAACTTACTTAGTCTCAAACCTTAGTGGAATTTTAATTACATTAATTGAAAAGACTCTCTTATTTTTCCAAGGGATGCTGCCTGGCCTATTTCATTCATTGTCCTTATGGAAAGACTTGTCCAGTAATTATCTTTTTAATGTTTTTCTCCTGCTACAGGCAAATGGTTTAACTATGGAATCATATTTCTTGTACTCATCTTGGATCTGAACATGTGGAAGAATCAAATATTTTACAAACCACACGAATATGGGCAATATATTGGTCCCGGTCAAAAGATCTTCACTGTGGAAGACTCAGAAAGCTTAAAGGCCCTCAACAGAACCAAACTGTCTTGGGAATGGCGGTCAAACAACACTAACCCTTTGACCAACAGGACCTATGCTGAAGGGGACATGTTTCTGCACAGCCGTTATATTGGCGCAAGTCTAGATGTCAAATGCCTGGCCTTCATTCCAAGTTTACTGGCTTTTGCTTTGTTTGGGTTCTTCATCTGGTTCTTTGGGCGATTTCAGAAAACCGATCAAGGCATGGAAAATCTTGACAAGTCATACACACGCATGAAAAGGAAATCACCCTCAGATGTGGGCATGACACGAGAGAATACACAGGTTTTAGCAGAAGAGCCTTTAAGCCTTGAAGACCCTCATCTGGTATCCATCAAGTCAGACTTGAGTGAGATTGTGTTTAATTCTTCACTCCTAACATCTGAAAACCTTAGCTCACATTTAAATGAACAGCCAAGTCCACTGCAACCAATAAGGGAACCCACTGTATCTAACAGTAATACTTTAACCTAGTAACATCCCTCTCAGAAGGATCAAAACAAGAAATTATTGTGAGATCGCATTGTTCCTTTTTTGTAAGTGACAGTTTACATAGTCTTTAGAATAAGAAACAGATACAACCTATACCCCAACGGTGCTCAACATGCTTTTTTCTATGACTTTTTTTCTATTTATATTATATGACTTGTGCCTATTGTATTATATCAAAAATTCCTTTATAGATTGCTTCTAAAAAATTGCAATAGTGTACTAGATGACTATTTGCAGATATAAAAGCTACCTTGGTGGTGCCTTGAAACATTAAATTGTCTAACTCAAACATGTAGAAGAGATATGAAGCTGTTCTTAGAAGTATTTTGAACAGGCCATTTTCTTTTAAATAGAGTTATTTAGAAAAGGTTGGGGCCACTGGCTGAATATGATAAGCCTCTTGCCAGACCCTCTTTCCCCATCCCTTCTGGAAGCCTGGATGATGGACTCCCTGCAGCGGCAAAGCAAATTCTTGGGGAGGGGGAGCAATGGAAACCTATAGGGGGTCTGATGCATCATACAGGCTGTGCACTGTCTGTTCTTAATTTAGAACCTCGCTGAATGGATGTATCATCAACACAGGAACAAATGTTCATGGTCGGTGCTTCTGCAAAAGGTTTCTAATAAGCAATTGCAGTGGCAGACTGGCTTTAATTTACTGAGCTATAAAGGTGATGACTTTGACAGCTGGACTTTGAAGAAGCATGTTGATTACTTTTAATTTTGCTGGCTAGCTTCCAGACAAAAATACAGATTTACAACTCTGTAGCATCAGAGTGATAATGTAGCATGGGTCACTGCTTAGGAGTATGTGACATTCTCCACAAGCAATTGCAATTAGGTGATAATACTTAATTATGTTTTTTCCATAATTAAAGATAAATTACTACTTGATCAAAAATCCCATCCCTCACCATTTTAGGAGCAAAAGTTAAAATGCAGCTTTGTTTAAAATACAGCCAGACTTTCAAAAGACACTAATCCAGTGCCAAAGAAAAAGTATGGGAATGCACTGAAGAATAACACAATCCACCATTTGCAGTGTTTGTGGAATTCTGGTTTAAATGGATTTGTCTACATCGCCATGGGAGATGTGCAATGCCACTGAGCAAACAGACTCTGGCAACAGCTTACATTGTTGGGCAATGGATTGTGGGTGGGGGGTGAGTGAATGTTTGAAAAAGAATCACAAGCACCATGGCATTGTGTTGCATTGAAGAATTAAGACTATGTCCAGTAATAATAAATAAAGCAAGAAGAAGAAAGAAAATCAAAGAATAATTGCATTTATTTTCTGTTCTGCCTTCCTAGAATGTCATAGCATTTTTCAATTGAGCACCTGCAACCCTCATTTATGAGACACTTCAGATGGCTCAAATGCAAACTCAAGTGCTGCTATAACAAAGGTTCTTTCACAGTTGTCTCCTGATGCTTCTGTATTTTGTTTCAATCTGTAGGAAGAAATGCCTGTATATAACTATTGTTCTGTAATGTGTACTTTGTGTGGCCTCTGTGAGGCAAAAATCTATCTGAATGGGCTTGAGGCCTTGTTTTGTTGCTGATAAAATATATAATAGTTGCTTAGCGACATTCTGAAGGGTGGGGAGAGACCATTGCTTTGGGTATTGTTAGAAGGAGCCTGGTTCAGGGAAATTGCTCTCTCATTTCATTGGCTGGGCATTCTAGTGAGGTAAAAAAGAATGGGTGGAAATGGCAGCTAAGGTACGGAAATAGACAGCTAAGGGTTTCATCAGAAAGGTTTGTAGAAGTTGGAATGAAGAGAGGTCTGGTTGGAATGTGGTGTTTGAGAAGGACTCAGAGAAGGCTGAGAAGAATGTAAATGGCTATTCTTTCTCTATGGGATAAACTTAGATGCCTGGTGAAGATCAGTGGTAGGGAACAGACAATGGTGTTGACCAAGAGGCTTTCCCAAGATTTTGCCAGAAGAGGACTATGCAAGTAGGGAATACAAGCCCAGGTAAACCATCCAAGCAGCCAGTGATACAACAGAAGGAGCTTGCGTGTCAGAGGAAGACTGTAGGCCAAGCTGGACCTTGTTGCAAGGGTATTTGGCTTGAGCAGAGGTTAGGGACTTTCACCTGAGGTTAAAAGAAGTCCTTAGAGGCTTATAACAGCACAAGTGCCTCTTGAGTCCCAAAGAATGGTCAGTAAGCAGTCTTTTGAAAAATCCATACAAAATATTAAAAATTACTTATGTACAAAATATTGTTTTGTTCTGTTTATCTCTGGTGTCGGTACCCACCTCATGCCTGAATCTCTTTCTTATGCCAGATGCTAGGTGGTTTTAAAGTATTCCAATGGAGTTGGGGGTAGCAAGAAATGGCTTGCTTTAACTCTAAGTAACTATAACTCTATGTTATAGTAGCAGTGGTTTCCTTAGGCCCAGACATAATAACATGTGCCATAAATATGAAAATCCACAGCTAGAAGTGACCAGTAGAAGAACAGCTTCCCCAGAGGTGACAGCACTAGTCAGGAGAGGAGATTTCTCGTGATCTGCCTGCTTTTTTTCTAATTGGCTGCATGCTAAAATTATCACACATAATTCAGCTATGCAGTTGATACTTTTCTCTGGAGAACCAAGTTTAATAAACATTCAACAACAAATAAGCCTATAGCTAAAGCCAGTCTTTGTTGACGCATGTGTTTATATTTCATTGGCATTTTGATATCCTAGGCTTGCATATTTGCCACAGCTTATGAGCTTGAAATTCTGCCATAATGTCCTTGCAACACTGATGTAATGTCAGAGCTAGTAAATGATGCATTGGTGGCATGATGGATATGTTCCATTCTAAGCACTCCTTTGCTGGCACAGGCACTCTGAGCATGAGGCGATTGGATACATAAATATTGCCAATTCGAAGATGAAGCAGAAGGAAAGCCCAGAGCCATCAGGATCACAATAATATCTAACATCATCCCTCCTTTCCCTACAGAATATTTAAAATTTTATCAAGAGACACTTTGAATTTCATTGCTTAAAATGGTAGCCCTCATTAGTGTGTTGTAAGTAGAAACTTGTTCAAGGTATAAAAAAAAAGAATTACATTTGATATTCAATGCCCATTGTTCAATAACTTATTAGAACACAGAGGTATTTGGTGGGGGGGTGTTTTTTGTTTTGTGATGCAGTAAATGATTCTATTCTAGACAGCATACTAAAAGCAGAGACATCACCCTGCCAACAAAAGTGCGTATAGTCATGGCTATGGTTTTCCCAGTTGCAATGTATGGCTGTGAAAATTGGACCATAAGGCTGAGTGCCAAAGAATTGAGGCCTTTGAATTGTGGTGCTGGAGGAGACTCCTGCAAGTCCCTTGAACCGCAAGGCGATCAAACCGGTCAGTCCTAGAGGAGAACAACCCTGACTGCTCTTTAGAAGGCCAGATCCTGAAGATGAAACTCAAATACTTTGGTCACCTAATGAGAAGGAAGGACTCCCTGGAGAAGAGCCTAATGCTGGGAACAATAGATGGCAAAAGAAGAGGTGACGGCAGAGAATGAGGTGGCTAGATGAAGTCACTGAAGCAGTTGGCATGAGCTTAAGTGGACTCCGGGGGATGGTGGAGGACAGGAGGGCCTGGAGGGATGTTGTCCATGGGGTCGCGATGGGTCAGACGCGAGTTTGCAACTAACAACAACAACAAAATGATTATATCTGTTTTCCATCTACAGACTGTTTGGGGTACATTAGGAGGAAAAGCACACGAGTGACTGATTTCGTACATTCTTTGCAGAATTCTAAGATATCAAAATTCTTTTGTGTTCCACTTTGGTGTGTGGGTCATTAATTTAATTAAAATGTAACTAGAAAATGAAAGACTTGAGCCTTGCTGCCTATATGATTACATGACCCAAGGAAATGATTATTAAGCAGCAGACCAGAGATAGAATAAATTCCATGATCTTACGTCAAGCTAATACTTTAAAAGCCACCTTTTTAAGCACTTCGAAGTCTAGTAGTAATGAGAACATCTAGTAATCCTGTGATTTTACCAGGGTCTGCAAATTAATAGTTTAAAAGAATCATTAGTGAGTAGAAGAGGACTTCCAGGACTTATCTACAGCTGCTAGAAGAGTTAAGCCACCAGAAATTCATTTTGCAGTTAATGTTACTATCAAGAGCTTCAACCTGGAACCCCATGATGCAGACACTAAACATATCTGAACACGGATGTGCTTCCTCAGCTGAAATGGTTGGAGCACTGCTTATCAACAGGGAACTCTGTATAAGTAAGGCAGTTTATATGTTTATAAGAAATGCAGATTTTGGTCAGGCTTGCAAAATTTGTGACTTGCAACCCAAACACATTCATCACACATGTATAGCAGTCTAGCAGCTTTGATAAATGTTCAAGTGTAGTTGTTTGTCTAGGACTGCAAAAGCTGGGATATAGGATCAAAACATTAGCAGGGTATCAGCACAAGACTTCTGTGTTGCTGACTGTTTAAGGACAGGAATATAAATTATTGGATTAATATAAACACCAACAGTTCTGCACCAACAGTAGCATTGGTAATGCACTGAGTCATAACCAGATGTTTAAGCCCCACAGAAGATGCTAAAAACACCTAATCAGCTATTCAGTATGATGGGATACTTGAGCGAACAAAACTGCTGTTCACTCCACTCCAGTCTCTTTAGAGCAGAACATTCCAAATATGAGGTGCCATGACTGAAAATGCATTTTTCTCTAGTCACCTTCTGGATGATTTCCAAAGAAAGCAATGATTATAAGGTTCAGGGTTAGGGTTAGGGTTAGGGAATGTTGGGATGCCCAGCACTGAGTTTTGTTGGTCTCACATTGAGTAGATCCAATTAAGATAAAGGATCATCACCCGGGGGAATATAGGAACACGAATCACACATGCCCAACAATTAACCCTTTTTTCCCAAACCTAAACCTTCTCTTTGTTCCCATCCCTGCATTCACATCTTGGGAAGTGGGAGTGGAAAAGATTACAGAGGCCCTGACCCAATTTGCACGATTGCAGGGGGGTTCATAAGCTTGGCAACAAGCCACGCTTGGTAGGTGTGTAGGACAGAGGAAGCTGCTCTGTCATGGGTAAGTCTGCTAATTCCCCCTGTATGACAGAGGAAATAAACCACTAGAGTGTATCTCCTTGCTGTGACCATATGACCAGATTCCCAGTAAATGAGAGGTTGCACATTTCTTTGGCTATGAACAACACAGTGTAGATGCATTTATCCCTTTATTTTATGTTTAAGAAACAATCTTGACAAGTCATTTCTTTAATAAGAGATTTGAGCCAGCACAAAAGATTCAGTATCTTATTAATCAGTTTATTTGCAAAGATGCATAACAAATGCAGCCTCAACTAGTTTTAGTATGCAAACCTACACCTGCAAGGTATGTGTGGAAGATTTAAAATCACAGCATGGTCTGTGCATTCCTCAGTTGTCCATTCAACATGGATGGGGTTTACAGTTCTATGGAAAAATACCTGTAGATCTTTTGTTACAGGAAATAGGTAAGACAAGGATTTCCACCTTGAAACCTCAGGTATGTGGATCAAAACTGACCTTCTTATAGGCCCTTCCAACATTTCCCAGCTGTCCTTTTCCCTGCCCTCTTATTCTTCACATCTAATTGGTGGTTTCCTGGCTTTTGTGCAGTTTTCCCCCTTCCATTTTAAAAGGTGGAAATGCCTCTCTCAGGGCCAAAAACTGGCAGTAAGTGCTTTAACGTATCAGAAAGCTGATATGATTGACCCTATTTTGCTCCTTCCTCTTTTGTCTTTGCCGCACCCATCACTGGAATGTGCCCATGAGAGTATCTTTGAAATTTCTTGTTGTCTTTCAGGCGGAAGAGATTTGTCCCTCCTGGATTGAAGCCTAGTCCTCAGTGTCAGCTCCAGGTCTGAGGAAGTTCTCAAGACGGTCCCCACTGGCGAGCCCTTCCATGCTGCTGGGCTGCTGATAGCAGGGCAGCCACTGCTCATGTTTATTTTTCTGAATCTGTAGCTAGAGTTTTACTGAAGAAAGAGGAGGACAGCATGGACAGAAGGGCTGCTTCTCTCATGAGTGCCAAGCAACGTCCACTGTTGTTGGCCCCGGTGTCTACTATCACTCAGAGACGCAGGCTGGGCTTAGACAACATAACAAGCTGTGGGGGTATTTTGCTATTGTTGGCCTGCCATTGTGGTATTCCAGACAGAAACCAGTTGTGGTATTTCATTATGGTAAATTTGGTCTTTAGAAGCCACAATGAGAAACAATAGTTTGACGGTCTTATGGTTCATCCATTCCACACGGATTTTGGTTTCTGCAGCCCCAGTTGCCATAGGCAGGGAGCATCGCATCTTGGAATTGAGTTTTAGACACAGTAGCTGATGGGATACATGCAAACCATAGAAAGACTGAGTGGGAAGGATGACAATCAGAACAATTTGGAAGCCACTAGATTGTCTGCCAGGTAGATCATGGTAAAAATCCACAAACTGTGATAAGCACACAGGCTTGCTTGCCATGAGGTCTGATCTCAAGACAGTGTCTTTCTGGGGCACTATGGACTGCCACCATGGTGATAAAGTGACAGCACTATCAGCAATGGTGGGGCTTTCATACCTGTCAAAGATACCACCTGCTGCACTAGGCTTGCTAGTCCTCATGGTGATGGCAAAATCTCAGTGTCTAAGCTATACCACTTTATACTGCAGGAGGTCATGCACATGATTTGCTGTTGCATCCTAAAAAAGAAACCTTGTATGCAAAAAAGCTAACATATCAGGGGAAAGGCTAGGCTGGAATCCCCAAGATCTTTTTTCTTCTTCTTTTAGTGCAATCGTTTGAATTTTCCCATCTTCAGTCTGAAGATACAAATGTTTGTTGTAAGCCACCCAGAAAGCTTCTGCTACTGGTGGTATAGAAATGAAGTAAATAATAATAATAAAGAAACATCTGAAAACATATGGGATTGTTTGTTCAAGAAAGTGTGTCTGTTGTCCGAGAATATCAGCCCTAAAAAAGCATCTTTAATGGACTTGATTGCATGAGAAATTCGCCACAAGGGGGGAAAAAGCAGAGATTGTCCACCTTTCTTTTGAGTTCACAGAAACATATGGCGCCCTTGCTTTATCTTCACAGCCACTCTGTTAGGTTAGGATGGGTGATCATAACTGGCCCCCCAGTTACCCAGTGAGCTTCGTGTCCAAGTGGGGATTTGAACCTGCATCTCT